TTTTTGAGACAGGGTCTTGCTACACAGTTCAGGCTGGCCTTGACCTCACTTAGTAGCCTAGGTTGGTCTCGAACTTGCACCGATCCTCCTGGCTCAGTCTCCTGAGTGCTGGGATTACAGGTGTGCATCACCACTCCTGGCTTATATGAATTCTCTTAATTCTGTGAGTACTTGGTTGTTGGATGAAAATTAATACTGTGTCAGTTGATAGTTAAAATTACCTTACTACACTAGAAGCTCCCATGGAAAAGTGTCTCTTAGTGAGTTGATGCCATTTAAATTTAGAATGCCATGTTATTTTCTAAGAAATCTTGGTTGATTAAATAAGTAAAACACATTTATTGGATCTTGTGTGAATATTGAAATAAGAAACTTAGTATTGTATCTCATATGCTTCTTAGTAAATAGGAACTGGTAGCTTTAATTAGTTGGAAAATTTTAACTCAGGGGTAGGTTCTTATTTTTCACAGGCTTCTAAATGCTATTACAAAAATGTGTAAATGAACAAAACAGGTTTTCAATAAACATGTATTTAAAAAAAGACAGCATATGTTGCATAAAATTCAACCGCTGCAATAAAAATCTAATTAAACTTTTATTTGCTAGGCCCTTTACAACAAGAAGTCATTTTATTCTATTCTATTTAGGAGCCTCCTATATTCCCAACAAGAATAAAATAGCACATATGGCTTGAATTTCTACTGCTTAAAATTGCCAAGAAAAATCCTAAAAATAAACAGTCAGTTTTTTTTTTTTTCTTTTACTGCTCAGAGAAGTTCCAAGATGGGTCAAAAATTAGAAGAATTCTGTATAAATTAAAATTTTATTGGTAAAGTTTATTTGGAGATAGATGTTCATAAAAATTGCTGTATTTCCCATCCTTTCTTCTTCAGTCATATGCTTTTCCTTTGTGTTGGCTGAAAATCAACTTGACAGAAGAGAGGCAAGCAAATGGGATATGAAATGGCATCTGAGCCAGGAATTTGGACATATAAGTTATCTTTGTTAGTTGCTAGAGATAACTTCCCTTATCCTGGCTGAACTGTTATCTTATAACCACCTACGGAGGAACCACTTCCTATTCCGCTACAGATCATTTTCACATCAAAAAACTGTGCTTTCCTGTGCTCCATTCTCCATTTAGTGAGCAAAATAATGGTAACAGGGTGTGCACATTGTTTGAATATGGAAGACATTTTTTAATGTAATGTGGAAGCCCTTGGTGGTTTACTGTCAGACGTCTCAATATGAATGAAACAATTTGCTATAATAACTGAACCACATAAATTTTTGATACTACAATCATACTGCAAGCTCTCAGAAATTACTACAGTACATCTTAACTGTCATGTCACATCATGTAAATTATAGTCATGATGACATGCTTAGCTTGGTTGATTTAATATCTTGCTAAGGAAATGGAAAATTGCAGGGCCTTGTTTGTAAATTCAATAAAACCACTTTTCTAAATAGTTGAGGCTAAATTCTTTATCAGTAATTGCATTCAAGTCAGAGCCACTGCCAGAATCTGACAGAAATATTATATCAGGATACTACTGCATCTGCTTCAATACTGAATTTCACTGACACCCACAGCCAGGAGGTTGTGGGTACCTAAGCCAGCCACTGCTTTTTTAGTGCTAATTCCTAAGTTAAAAATATTTATGGGATCCTATTAGCTTTCTCTAAATGTTTACATAATAATTTGCAAGCATTTTCCCAATCGCTTGGTTAGAAGGCTGTTTGCATCAGAGAGGAGAGATACAATGAAAATGCTTCCAGCGCTGATGCACTTCGCCAGCTCAGAATCCTGCCTGGTGGTAATTGAACTCAAAAATACAAGTCAGCACATTAAAGAGTACTTTTTATCCTGTGAAACATTTTTAATACTTTTGCTATATGGGATAATGAGGTGGAAGTAAGTGACAGTAAAAGTGCTTGTGGACAGTGGGTGATCCCAGATGAATGCAGCATATTTTTATACTGTTGGTCAAAAACTTTCCTATGATCTTATTATAAATTAATTCTTCAGTAGTAACCATGAAGGTTTTTTTCCAAATATATGTGAATTTTGGTACAATTGGCAGTTTAAGTTTACATAATTTTCCCACCTTATTTTAGAGAGTCTGAGAGTATTAAGTCAGGTACTCACAGGCTAAACTAGCAGCATTTTATGTTCAAATGCTCGGTGAGTGCGAATGCTTGTTTTTAGGGCACTTGGGCAGCAGTGGAACCAGACAGAAGAGGAAAAAAGTGGAAGACAGAGAATCCCTCCCAGGCTTGCTGCAAGCTGCAGTTATTCTAAAACACTTTAGGAATGTCAGACTTGGGATAATTTACCGCTTTAGTGAGTTAAAGCCTCTTGGAACCCCGAAGTAGTCATTTACTTAAGGTTACCCCAGTGGTCTGAAATAGTTCTTGCAGCTTCCAAAATCGATTCTCTGCATCTACAAACTTCTCAGAGAATCTGGTTGGACCTGTCTGCGTCTGTTTCCACATTACCATTAAGATTTGAAACTCTTTCTCGGAACATTATTGAATTAATCTTCTGCGACTTGTTCTTCACAAAATAATTGATATTTTCTACAGCATTATGCTGACTTCCCATCATTAGCTTAGTAAAACTTTTAAATTGCTTCACATAGCAGCCAGTAATACCAAGACCCTTGCATGAAATGCGCCTTGTGAGAGCCTGCTGACATAACAGTGTCTGGCTTCTAGACGTAACCCTGGGACACTCTTTTCTCCTACTTGTTTGACTTTCAGTTCTACTTCGCAGAGCCCAAAGAGCAGCTGTGGATTTGAAGGAGGACATTGATATTTGATATCTACAGGACAAAGTAATTCTTATCACATAAAAGGAGCTCAAGAAATACTTTATGATTGATGCAGCACCTTACCACACACAAGCAAAAATTTTAAAATTTTTTAATAGGTTACTCAAAAGTGACCTTTGATTTGTGGTTTATGTGTGAGTGAGAAGATGATTTTAGTCTTTTATTTTAAGTATGACTTACATTTTTAGCAGCATGATTTGTATTTGTGACTTTCTTGCTCTAACTTCCTCAGAACTATTCAAAAGTAAAATTTCTATTAAGAAGCCATAACTCCCTCTAATTTAAATCTTGGGTTAAAAGGATTAATCAAAAAGGTCATCATGCAGATAGAGAAAAGAATGGCCATTGTCTTGGTTAATTTTCCCTCCTTGCTGAGACAAAATACTAGATACCAAAAATTAAGGAGGGAAAGGTTTATTTAGCTCTTAGTTTGTGAACGTTTCAGTGCATAATAATCAGCTGGCTTCAAGGCAGGGTGGCCTGGCACACGGGCAACAGCTTAAGGCTGCAGAAGACAGCAAAAGCAACAAAAGCAGAAGGAAGAAAGCAAGCCTCTTTTCCTCCCTGATATTGTATGCAGGCTACCTGCCCACACCATCTCCTTGTCCTCCTCCTGCACAGGCTCAGGATATTTACAGAGTGAGGACCATGGCCCAGTGCTGAGTCACTGAGTTAAACTTCTAGACTTCTCAAGTTGACACAGTGTATCAACCATAACAGCCATAAAAGTAGATACGATAAATAAACTGTGATTTTTTATTCCATAAATAAAATCTTGGGGCTGGGGATTTAGCTCAGCGGCAAAAGCGCCTGCCTGGCAAGCGCAAGGTCGTGAGTTCGGTTCCCGGTACCGGAGAAAAAACAAAAAAACAACAACAACAACAAAAAAAAAACCAAAAAAAAAAAAACATAAATAAAATCTTGTGGAATAATTTGGTAATGGAGGAGGATCAAGGAGAAGGTTTTCTGCCTAGAATAAAGCAAATGAATTGTTAAGCTTAAATGAGAAAATATGTTAAAACATACGTAAAAGTGAGGGACCATTCACTGCTTGTAGTTGATATTACAGAGTCCACTGTCACACACAGATAAGTCTTAAATTTCCATATCCTTATCATAACGTTATCTTTATAAAATTTATAAATCTTTAATTCATGCATATTATCTGAAATTTATAAATCATTAATTCATGCATATTATATGAAAA